CCCCTCCTCCTCCCCCTCCTCCTCCTCCTCCTCCTCCTCCTCCTCCTCCTCCTCCTCCTCCTCCTCCTCCTCCTCCTCCTACTCCTCCTCCTCCTCTTCGTGCCCCAGGGCCGTCGGGTCCGAGGAGGGCCCCGGGGCGGGCCGCGCGCGCCGCGGGCCGCGCCGCGCGCGCCCGCGCCCGCGCCCGCCGCCGCGGGCCGGGCCCTCAGTCCTTCCGCCAGTGCTGTCATCGCGCTAGTGCCTTCCTCGTGCTAGTGCTGTCCTCGCGATGTCCTCGTGCCGTCCTCGTGCCTGTGCTGTCCTCGCGCTGTCCTCGTGCTGTCCTCGTGCGTCCTCCTGCAGCAGCGCTGTCCTCGCGCTGGCGCCGCCGTCGTGCTGGGCCGCACCAGACCCCTGCGTTAGGCGCGCTGGCTGGCCCGACGACCACCTCAGGCAGCGCTGATGAGCGTGCGCGCCACCTCCCGGACCACGCAGGCGGCGATGGGCCGGTGGAGAGTGCTGAGAGTCTCCTGTCGCCCAGGGCCCCCAGGCACTTGCTGCGCGAGCCATTTCCGGGTGGACTCGCCCATGGCTCCCGAAACTTCGAAGCCGAGGGGCTGGAAACCAGCGACTCTGTTGTATTTGCGGCGCTTGGCCTGTTCGGCCAGTCTCGCAGCGGTGCCCTGGGCGTGGGCCCCTCCGGCCTGCAGGCTCTGCTGCGAGGCGGGATGCACGATCGCTAGGTCAAGATCAGCCCACTGGCCGCCACTGTCGGTGCACCTGAGGTCCGCGCGGAGACCCGGATTGCCCGGCCCAGCGGGCGGGCGAATCCATCGTTCGACTGCGATGTCGCAAATGCCGGCTTCACGTAGGGCTCGCGCGACGGTGTCGCGCAGGTTGTCGCGCCTCACCATGAAGCCGCCATAGGAGCAGCAAAGCGCGTGGCGTCCGTTAGTGTCGACGGTGCCGGCGCAGAGGGTTCCGTCCTCCTTTCTGAAGGGACAGGGGCCGTCAGCTGCGCGTACGAGACCTCCGAGTCTGCGTCTCACGGCCATCCTGAAGTGGGCGTCAGCGAGGTGGTGGTCGGGCCGCGTGGGCGGCCCGAGCCACGCGCCTGCCCCCTTGCCTGTCGCGCTAAGAGCCCAGGCCCGTTGGTGCGGTTCCGTCTGGGTGCGTCGTAGCCACTGCGTCCACTCTGCGTGCCGCCTGTGCCTGGTAAAGCACCGCTGGGTGGTGTCGGGCGGCTCCGCGCCGGGCGCCTGCCGCGCTGCCTCTTCCTGTGTCAGCGCGTCGACAGCGCACTGGAGGCGGTGGAGCGCCGGTCTCAAGCCCGGGCAATAACGGAGAAGATCATCTGTGTCGCGGAGGCCCAGTCGCTGACGCACAGGCTTCTCGCAGAGTGCCCACGAGGCCGCCTGAGCATCCAGGCGCACTGCGCTCACGCTCTGGAATCCCAAGCCGCCCAAAGCGACAGGGTGCCAGCATTTCTCTTTCTGCTCCGCTGTGAGGTCGTGCGTTTGCACTAGGTCCTCCAGTGTGCTGAGCAGGCCGGCGTCGAGTTGGGTCGCCGTTTGGGCGGGAACCCCGGCGGCGCGCATGCGCCACGCCATGTCTCCTGCAGCGAGGGTTCGTAGTAGCACCAAAGACGTCTGAACGTCTAGGCAGGCTTTGTGAAGGTCCATGAGTCTGGCCATGGCAGTCGTCCTCCTGGTTTGTTGGCGTTGTAGTCGCGGCGAGGCGGGTGAGTGCAGGCTGCCCTCCTCGGCGCGCTGGTCGGCGGTTACCGGCGTCGGTGCCAGGCCGGAGTATGTCGTCGGCGTGTTGTCGTAAGATCGTGGGCTGCTCTACTCGCGGCACGGGTAGGCCCGCTGGTATCGCGGCAGGATTCCTCGCCTACACCTCAAATTTGTCGACGCGTGTTTGGAGGCCGGCTTGGCTCAGTGCGTTGGTGTAGGTTGCGTATATGGTGGGCAGGTCTTCAGGCCTTGCAAGGATGGTGAGGTCGTCGATGTAGCCGAAAAGCTCGTGCTGTACACCTGCTGCGTCGAATTGGTGTTTGGCCCTCTCGAGGGCTCGGTCGAGTCCGAGGCAGAAGAGCGTGGTGGCCATGCCGCACCCCTGGAAGATACCCGTCGTTTGGTTCCAGATGTGTATTCTGCCCCCGGTGTCGTGGTAGACTACCTGCCCGGCGTCCGGCAGGAACCCTCTTGCCCATCGACGGAGTTTTGGGCAGTGAGCATCGATGCCTTCGTTGATGTACACCCTGCTCAGTTTCTGGAAGGCGTCTGCAGCGCCCAGAGAGAGCACAGCGTAGTCCGGGCGGACGTGGAGGGCAGTGGACACGCGTTTGTGGACCAGTTCCGCCCCAGCCGTGTGCTTGTACCCGAACTGCTTGCCGCGAAGCCCCTCGGCGACCTCGTCCGCCGCCATTTTGTTGACCGCCTTGGACGCGAGACGGCGGAGCGGGCTGGCGAGATTGATGGGGCGGATTCGGGTGGGGCTTCTGGTGAGCGGGAGGAGGCGGGCGGCCGTCGCCAGTCCCTGCACTTCCTGCGAGAGGGTGCCGCGGGCTAGTGCTGCGGCCACTGTGGCCAGGGCACACAGAGCGGACAGGTCAGTTTGGACGAGTTGGAAGTGCTCGTACCGCCACCCGTCGGGCCCAACTGCGCTTCGTTTTGGTGCGGCCCGCAAGGCTTTGGCGAAGTGTAGCTCGAACTGTTGCTGCTCGTCGTCCTGTTCGTCGTAGGCGGCTGGTGGCTGTGGCTGATGGTGTGGGAATAGCTGCGGTGCGGCTTGAAGGGTCAACTCGTCTCCAGCAATTTCGAGTGCTTCGCGGAGGACTCTCGTGGCTTTGCCCACGGCGCCTGCCTCCACGAGTTTGCGCGACGTCATAACGTCGTGCTCTGCGGTAGTCTTCCGCCTGGCGCGCAAAGGAGGTGGGGCGGAGTCGAGGACGGCGCCCCAAAGCTGCGCTTCGCGGTGTTCCCTGATCTCCGAGGCCTGGCGGAACAGCGTAGTGGTGAGCTGAGCGTTGCCTCTCTTGCCGCCTCGGAGGTTGGCGTGCCCGAACAGCAGCTTAGGGAGCATGAACCAACGCTTGGCCGCCTTGGTGATGGACTCCGGGGTGCCGTGGTGGATCTCGTGGGCGAAAGCTTTCGTGTGCTCCGCTATGATGGCGCCCACCACCCCGCGTCGCCCTC